GCAATCACGACGACGACTACTAGTAAAATACTACTACTATGGCTACTACGGCTACTACTACTACTACTACTACTACTACTACTACTACTACTACTACTACTACTATTACTACTACTACGACTACTACTACTACTACTACTACTACTACTACTACTACTACTACTACTACTACTAGTATGACTACGACTACGACTACGGTTGCAACTTCAAATTCTACGGGTACTACTGCTGCGACTACTAAGGCGACTACTACTACTTCCACGACTACTACTACTACTACTACTACTACTACTACTACTACTACTACTACTACTACTACTACTACTACTACTACTACTACTACTTTTTCTCTTTTTTTCCATGGAACGCATTAGAGCAAGGGATGGGATCAGCCCGCAGGCCGTGAGGGGAGAGCACGACGTCCAACAGTCTACACGCCTAAAGCCGCGGATAGGCCGGTACACCCAAAATGTGGATGTCAATCTTATGTTGTTCCGGCTTGCCCGCCTCCCGCATGCACGAAAGTGGACAGGTAAATGACATAAAGTGGCTGGCCGGGCTGACGTCACCACGTTCGCGGGGGGGAGGAGGAGGAGGAGGAGGAGGAGAGAGAGGAGGACGAGGAGGAGGAGCGAAAACAAACTTAGCACGCTGTGTGCACATATCCCCCAAGGCCCAAGCGGCCACCGATATTCACACAAGCGAACCCCCACGGCACCAAGCGAGGCACAGCGCAAACTGGCCCACCTTGTGCGGAGCGAAAGTTGAAACCATAGTACGTAGACTGCGGAAGCATAGCAGCGGCGGCAGCGAGAGAGCAAGAATGGAGAGAGAAACTACTGCATTGGAGCCCAAGCGCGAGCGACGCAAGCCGTCGCGGCGCCATGGCCCCGCACTATCTCCTTGGCCGTGTGGGCTAGAGCCTGCCAAGCCAGCGGGCCGGCGCCTGCCGGAGAGTGCCTGCGCCGACAATGTAAAATGTACACGGCCGCGATGCGGATGCTCTTCCTCACCAGTAGATCGCGAACTCCCGTGGAGTAGCGTGGCACCAAGATCAGGAAATCCTCGATTGCTCCAGGGCCGACTGGCGCGTCGAGGTGTAGGAAGCGGGAGCCGAACTCGCGGACGACGGGGCACCGGGCGTAGTGCTCGATGCTGTCCTCGCACGCGCACCCGAAGATACATCGACCCTGCTCTTGAAAACGTCGGCTCGTGACCCAACCATTCCACCAGGCGCGCAACACTGCGGCCCGCGCCCGCGCCGGGAGGTAAGAACTCAGAGACGGCAACACCAGTAGTGCTCGATCAGCGCGGACCCGTTCGAGCAATCTCATATCGTACCGCGTCAACCGTCGCCGCATGAAGAGTTCGAGGGTGGCGCGGGTGGACGGCTCAACAAAAGCCCGACATGTCTTCTGTCACTGGCGCCGGAGAGTGAGGAGGTCCTCCGGGGAACGAGGACGAGGATGCCCCAGGATTCGCGCTTGGATTCGCTGGGTCCCGAAGCCGGCCTCCGTGAAGTGGTCGACGGCAGAATCCAATTGAAGAACGAATGCGGATGCGAACCACGACGCCATGACGTGCTGTCGCTCCAACTGGTTCGATCGAGATGCAACTGCCCAGAGCTCCCTTGCGCGAGTGCGGATCGCCAGCCCGCCGTGGAGCCTGTTCTCGAAAGTGGCGACCCGGTGCTTGGCTGCGAGCGCGTGCGCGTCGAGGTCAAGCAGGCCGCCCTGGAAGCCGAGGTGCGGTAGGGCCCGCAAGGCGTCGACCGTGGCCCAACACCGCGGACCTGGGAACAGCTTGGAAGCCGCGGTCCGTTCGAAGCAGGCCCATTCGGGTGGAGGGGCATCCAGCTGGGCAACGAAGAGGACGGTGGAGAAGATGCACGTGCGGTACGCCAGCAAAGTGAGCTGCAGTCCACAACCAACCTTTCCCCAAGCAGCGGCGCGCTGACGGTATTTGTCCAGCGGTTTGTCCCGCGAGGTCGTGCCGCGGCCAGGCCCTAGAACGAAGCCGAGGTACTCCGCCGAGGTCGCGACGCGAACCCCTCCCCAGGACGGTGCTGCCCTCGCCAGCCGGCCCCGGAAGGTGTCCAGGGGTTCCAGGTGGAGCGGGATGATCGTGGTCTTCCCCAGATGGAGGTGCAGGCCGGAGACAAGGGCATACTCCTCGAAGATCTGCTCCAAGACCCGCGCGTCCCCGACGCCAGAACGGGAGACCAAGGCCAGGTTGTCCGCATACGCGCGCAAGGCGGCCGCGGGCAGGAGGCGGCGTAAACGTCGGAGGAGGAGGTCTGACCGAGAGGAAACCGGCCGCGTACGCAGATTTATATCTTCCCCCCGGGACCTCTTGATTCGTTTGCTTCGACCCCACCTTTGGATGGTGATGCCCTTCCCCCCCCCGAAACTTCAATGCGTCCTCATATGGCCTCGGAGAGGCCTAAGACGGCCTCAAGACGGCCCACGAGGGCCCCGATCCAGCTCCCAAGCAGCCCAAAGTGGCTCCGAAACGACCGCAGAACAGACGAGCCCAAGCCAGCTCCAGGGGCTGACGGACGCGGCGCAAGCCATATGGATCGAATCCTGTGGGCCGAACGGGCGCCTGCAGTGACCTATTCCTGAACATCGCCTCGGTCAAAGTACGGTCCAGGGGCACGGCGCCTCATCGAAGGCCTGCGGGAACATTGCGGCCCACTCGGCTTATCACATGTCACACGACAGCTGTCTAAGCAAATAGCTCCCTGGAGTTCCTGGCGCAACAATGCCCAAGGTAGGGCGATACTGGAGTGCAACGTGCGCTTAGCCGAAACAGCCTGCATGCAATCCAGGCGCCCCTGGGATCGAGTGGAAACCACATCCGCTCGCTCTCCGCCCCGACCTTGCCCACCTCATTATTCTACTCCTTTCCCAATATCAGCTTGCGCAATACCCTCCATAGGGCCACAGAGTCCCCGACGTGTTGCAGAATGCTGGGGCCCAGTAGGGGGGCCCCAACTTTCCCCAGTCGTTTCCGATATAGCCGAAAACACGCATAGGTACCGATGCCCCCCCTGAACACGCGACGCCCGCGCTGAGCACCCCGCCGGGACAGTCAACGATGTTGCCAAATGGATGGTGATGCAAATCCGAAAGGAAAGACCAGAACTTGAGGAGGAGGAGAGGGGAGGACGAGAAACGCACCCGCGCCCAAGACACCGCCCCACAAAGCTCCAAGCATACAACGGTTACTGCGACTGCTGGCGGCGCGCGGCGACAGCGCTCACAGAGACGATTCCCCCCGTGAATGTTTCCTCCCCCCGCCCAGGTACTATTGTATGACACCCCCGCCGCCGTGTGCTTACCTTGTGGCTACGATATACGTATACAGAATCCCCCAGCTACGCGCGGACTGCCCGCGTCGCATTTGCGGCGCAAGAGTTGCGCAAGGCCTGCGATAAGAGTGAAACGTGGACGACCGAATGGCACCTCTGACCGTGCACCCGGCGCAACCCCGACTAGGATGCCCTTCCATATGGCGGGTGTCATCATGCACGTTCTGATGAAGTATCACGGCGGTCGCGCGTCGCATCTGCCTCGCTTATTGCACGAGCCTCACGGGAATGACAACGCCTGCCAACGTGGCTACAAAATACGAGCAAACAGAACAGCACGGCAGAGTGAATTGAAATCGAATGGCGCTGTTTTCTTGGCGGGCGCGCGTCCGATGGCATCGCCTCGTATCCCGAAAAGGCCCCCGAAGGGGAACCGATGGGAACCCGAAAGACCCAATCAGGAGACACGAGTACACCCCAACAGCGTTTTAAAAGGAGCTGAAGAGAGCCCAAACTGCTCCGAGAAGTCCCCCTAAGACATCCTTCAGCCACCCCCCGAGGCCACCAGCGAAGCCACCAATTCGTCCCCAAGAGGCCCCGAAAACCACTCAATGCCATAAGGGCTCGCGGCGATCTGCGAAAGCCAAAGAGGCCCCTACGCCGAAACCACATCCGACGAAAACACCCAGACGCCCCAAAGAGGCACCCCAGAGGCCCGCGGCATGCCACATCCAGCCCCCAAGGGAGCAACAAGCACTATGCTCACAACGAACAGGGCAAGCAGGAAGAGGGGAGAGCCCCTCATGGACATCGACGTCTTCTCATGCGTTCCTCGCCTACTGCGTTCACCTCCCTCGTCGCTCCCCCCATCATGCTCGCCCCTCTCCCTCGTCCTTCCTTTCCCCCCTCCTCCTTCCCACCGTTCCCCCTCCCTCCCCCCCCGCCCCTCTCAGTCGAATAAACGGTTCGCTCTTGGGCGCACTGGGCGGTTTTACCCTTGCCCAACTTCGAAGAAAGTTTCGCGATCCGCATCCACTTGAAGCGGAAGCCCCGTGGCAAGCCTAATTGAGAAAACCTCTCTGGCCCACTCCACCCCCAGTGCAAACTTGGGCCCTGCATCTTGCATGGCCCGCGGGAGTTAACATCAAGATAATATATCGGCCGCAACACCGGCCGTGCCGTGCCACATGTTGGCTCACACCATCTGTCGCGATGATCAGGTCTCCAACTCCTCCCCATCGAACAAACCCTTCACAGGGCACTCGCTCGCGGGCGTGTCGGGCCAGAAGTATTGTAGCCACAACGTGCGAAGAACCTCCAGCGCCGCAGCTCGATGGCCCATGGCCCACGGAGCGTGCGCCCTTGGATGCGGCTTGAGGTGTCCAGCCCAAGCTCCGTTGGTCCAGTCGTTCCATATGTGACCTTCTGGCGGGCACATCCTGGCTAATTGTGGTTGCGTCAACGCACCTTCTGGGACCATGCTCAATACTTTGGCAAACTTTGCTGGATCTGGCTCAGCCTTGCCCTTCCCTTTGCCCCTGCCCTTGCCCCTGCCCCTTCCGGCGCCAGCTGCTGCAGCCTTCGCTGCTTCGCGCTCTGCTTTCTTCTTTTTGTGCATCCGCCGCATATCCGCCTCCCCCTCGAGGCCGCTATTCGCGGCCTTCGAAGTGGCATCCAAGATCTTCCGCTAGTCCTTCGTCAAGTTATCCCTGCAGGCTTCCGCGAGACGTAGATCCTGGCGGCTGGAATCTTGGGTGGCATCGAAGCAGCGCCTGTGCATGATCTCAAGAAGGCCGTCGTCAGTGAGGTCGGGCACCACGGCGCAGATGAGCGTTGCTAGCACGTCCCACATATGGTCCGTGGATGCGACCTCTACGTCGATAAGCTTGCCGAACTCAACGCACCAGCTCTTCGACAGCGAGAAGAACGCCCTCCGAGCTGCAAGCTCCTTGAGAGAAAGGGGGCCTGCAACCTTGACTGCGCGGGGGCGCTGCTGCGGGCCCATCGCTATCCCGCTGTTTGGGAACCTGACGCGCTGGTGCATGGGGCTCCACCACTCGTACTCTTCAGCCTCTATGCGGGCGTGGTCCAACATGTTGATCATGTGCAACTTCTCGCCGGACGGCTGCAGCTCATACCAGTGCGAGCCCGGGCGCCCCTCGATCTCCTTGCGCTGGACGGGCCACCCGAAGAAGGACAAGTCACACGCGCGCTTCAACACAAGAAGCCTCTGTTCCGAATCCCCGACCCGAACGATCAAATGGCGACCGCTCAGCAATCCCGCCATCACGGACTGCTCCTTGGGCTTTGGCACGGGCACCAACGGCAACGCTGCCTCCAACCGCAAGAGCTCTGCTATCGTGAAGTTCTGCGCGCCCGCCGCCGGATGGTGCCATGAGGGTTCCTGCTCCCGCCCCACTATCTTATCCAACTCTCGCCACGCATCGCCCGGGCTAGGATGGAACGCGGACTCCTTCAAGAGGTCGTTGTCCACCTCTGCCACGGAACCCAATTTCGGCGCATCGTAATGGTGCTTGCTCTGGACGCCCTTCTCCGTGTGCAAGAGGGCGAAGTAAGCGTTTTCGTCGTCAACCCTGTGGGTGACCCTCTGCCGAACCATGGCCTTTTGCGTGTTGAACGAATCCTCCAGAAGCTGCGTTGCGTGGAGGCCGTTGCTGCGCTGCTTCAAGAAAGCAGCGAACTTGGGTGTCAAGCCTTCCTTTGGAGCCGGTTCAAGCCGCAGCATGCCTCGGAGCTGGAGGACAGGGGTCAATCGCATGTGACTGCGCCCCCCCATGCTTGCGATATCAGCGTCCGCGGACGCCATGGCCTTGTCGATAATGTCGCAATACTTCGTGAACAGGTTCAGGTAGGCGGTGCGCCTGGGGTTGTCGGTCAAGAACATGATGGCTTTCCTGGGGAAGCCGCGAATGTAATCCAGTCCCCACTCCAGGCGGCTGCCGGCAAGGGCGACCACCATGTTACCGAAATAACCAGCATACATGTCCTGGAAGCTCACCTCCGCCCCCTCCTCCACGCCGTCCCCAGCAGTGTCCACGCGCATGCCGCACTTCAACCAAGACGTAGCACCACCTAGGCGGGCAATGGTCTGGTCGATGTGTTGCCAGTACCGACCTCCTGCTTGCAACGACTCCCACTTAAAGGCCCCCGTTGCTGATCGATGCTCGGTGCTCTGGGTTGTGTGCCACTCCCTCAACGGCCCGACCACGGAGCTAATGATCTCCATGATGTACCTGTTCGACTTGTCCGCGTACGTAATGAAACCGAAGTATACCGGGTTCCCTGCCGCCCGTTTGATGCTGTACGCAGTCTGCTTTGCATGACTTTGGGAAGAAGAGGCCTTGGGTTTTCCTTCCGGTGCGGCTGGGTGGTCTTTGCTTTTACCACCTCCTAGATCCTCTTTGGTAAGCTTCATCAAACCGAGCTCAAAACATGTCGTCATGAGGCCGTACTGTCGTTCCCCCCACTTGTCCCGCTCCCACTCAAAATGCCGATCAATCGGATTGAAGAACCGCGTGAGGTTGAGCTTGCTAGGGTTGTGGTCCCAGATGTTGTTGTCCAGAAGTTCTTTCCGGAGGTTCTCGCTGTCTTTCGAAGAGAAGGTTGATACGTTTTTGCCTCTATCCTCCAAGATCTGCGGCAAGCAGGCCTGGTAGGGGATGTCTTGCCCATCCGAAAGCGTCTGTAGGGAGTCCCTCGTGCTGATGCGGATTTGCTCCCCGCGGGATCCATCTTTCCACTCGCCATATCCAGTGTTAAAGGCCATGACGAGAAGAGTAAGGCGGGTAAGCATGCCTGCCGTGTTGACCGCATCCAAGCACGACCTCCACGCTCCATGAGATTTGTCCCAATCCTGTTCTATGTTGAGTCTCAGCCCCCATCTCAAGAAATTTGAAGAAGATATCATCTCTGGGCCTTTGTCAGAACTCCTTCTCGCGAGGTTCCAAGAATACGGATCAGACAAGTTTGCCAACTTCTCCGGGCTCACAAAATGTGACTTGAAACCTTCGTTGTCCATCATCAGCTTGATGGCGGAATCTTCCAAGCATAAATACTGGAATGATTTCTTCCTGTACTTGCGACGGCTCTTAGCTAAGAACCCGCCACCTCGTTTCCGTGACAACCTACGCCGGTTCTCCTCGACAAACTCATTCTGGGCTTCTGCTAAAGCCTGCACATCGTCCAGTGCGAAAGCCAATCCACGGCCTGTTTGAATGTCTTTCAGCACCTGCGGCGGGTAATGACCAAAATCGTCCTGGAGGGCCCAAGCGGCCTTACCTCGTCCCTGGGCGCCTACCCCGGTAGAGCTTTAATCGAAAGGGGGGGAACCTTCCGACGGAACTCCTCCATCCCCCCACGCTCCTGAACGCGCATCCACGCTTCCCACCCCGCCGCGCACCTCGTCCCACATGGTCCCCCACGTAACCCAAGATCCATCCAGTGCGCCTTCGACTAGCAAGCGGTGACGGTGACGAGACCGAAGGCGGTCACGAGGGTGACCGTGAGGGCAAGGACGAAGAAAGACGACCAAGAGGAGAACGAGCACGACGAGGAGGACGACCAAGGTGAAGAAGACGGGACCGATAACTTCCGGTGCCCTCTTGGGGGCCTTTCGGATCCCGTAAGAGGCCCCCAGAGAGCCTCATGGGGTGAGGGCGAGTTCATGGCCACAGGAAGGCCCAAGATCTTCAGTGAAGATCTCCACGCAGGGGGCCTCTTTGGCCTGTCTGGGGGCCTCTGGGACTGTCCTGGGATCCTTTTGGGCAATCTTGGAAGTCATCTGGGGCCTCCCTGGGCAACCTGGAGGCCCCAAAAGGCCCGTGGCGTGAAGGTAGGTCTTCATTGAAGATCTTCACGAAGGGGGCCTCTTCACTCTGTCTGGGGGCCTCTGGGACTGTCCTGGGAGCCTTCGGGGCTGTCTTGGAGGCCATCTGGGGCGTTTCCTGGGCGATCTGGAGGCCCCAAAAGGCACACAGCTTGAAGATTTTCAGTGAAGATCTTCACGCCGGGGGCCTCTTCACCCTGGCTGGGGGCCTCTGGGACTCTCCTGGAAGCTTTTTGGGCCGTCTTGGAAGCCATCTGGGGCCTTCTCAGGCGATCAGGAGGCCCCGAAAAGTCCGTGGCGTGAAAATCTTCACGCCGGGGGCCCCTCGGGCCTGGGTGGGGGCCTCTGGGGCTGTCCTGGTAGCCTTTTGGGCCGTCTCGGAGGCCATCCGGGGCCTGCTTGGGCGATCCGGAGGCCCCAAAAGGCACCCGGCGTGAAGATCTTCAGTGAAGATCTTCACGCTGACGGCCTCTTGGGCCTGGCCGGGAGCCTCTGAGGCAGTCCAGGGAGCCTTTTGGGCCGTCTTGGAACCCATCTGGGGCCTTTTGTCGGGCGATCTCGAGGCCCGAAAAGGCCACTTGCGTGAAGATCTTCAATGAAAATCTTTACGCTGAGAGCCTCTTGAGCCAGGCTGGGGGCCTCTGGGAGTTTCCTGGAAGCCTTTGGCGCCGTCTTGGAGGCCATCTGGGGCCTTCTTGGGAGATCTGGAGGCCTCCGCGGGCCGCCTGGGACAGCTTTGTCTGCGCGCGGGCATCCGTCAAGGGCTCTCAGGGGCCGTGCAGGATCGAGGTTGCAAGGCCGGCAGTGGGCCGTTCTGTACTGGATTTCTGCCTCTTCTGCTTCCTCCTCCTCCTCCTCCTCTTCCTCATCCCGCTGCGCGTCTTTCCCGCCGACCCCACACTGTCATCCGCAACTGTGTGGGTTCACAAGTATAGCCCTTTGCACCCCTCAACGTGGCACCCAACCCCTCCCCGCCTCAAGTGGAGTACAAAACGGCCGCATGTGAAAGCACAGAAAGTTCTTATTAAGAACCGACCACTTAGAAGAAACAACACAGAACGGTCATTTATTAAGGGGAAAACCGACTTCTTAATAAGAAACCAGAAATTTCTTATTAAGGACACTTTTTCCCCTCACCCACTCACTGAGAGCAGCGCCCGAGAGTGTGGCCAGATGCGTGCAACACAGGAAGCACGCCCTGCAATGTCCCCCAGGGGCCGAAAACAGGTGGGAGAGGAGGGGGAGGAAGAGGAGGCCGATTCCCATGTGTCGGACACGGTGCGGGACGCCAATCCGCCCGTCAACCGAAGCCGACCGGCGGAAACCGTGACGCCCGCCCCGGGGGCTGAGTCAAATGGCGAGGCATCTCTGCGGGTCGCCAATCCGCCCGCGCAGACTCCGTGACATTTGATTCGCCCCCCGGGGCCTCCCAATTTCCACCGATCGGCAATGGTTGACGGGCGGACTAGCTTCCCGCGCCCCGTCCGCGACATTCGAATCGGCCATCGGACTGTCACGGTTTCCGCCGGCCGCCTCTGGCAAGGAGGGGCAGGGGCTGCGGGGCGGGTGGCCAGGGCGACCCTTGCACACATGCAACTGCTGTCTGGGGGAGGGGGGTCAAAGAATCCGTACCTTAGTGACCCCGCCGCGCAACTTGCTCGGGGTTCCCCCACAGGTCCCCCAAAAGTGGCCATAGCCCCCTCCAAAGAGCCCCGTCGGACGCAGCATGGCTCCAAGACGGCCTCCGCGGTAGCTCCGCAGCGCCCCCCCGAATACCACGGAGGGAATGAGAGGGGAGGGAGAAGAGGAGGAGGGAGGCGGAGGAAGAGATAAGGGGACAATGGAGGTACAGTGGAGGAGGGAATTGGAGGCGGAGGGAAAATGGAAGCAGACGGGCGGAGGGAGGAGGGAGGATGAGGGAGGTAGAGTGCAGGAGGGAACAGGGAGGGGGAGGGGAGGGTCTGGGGAGAAGAAGGCCCAAGTTTTGGATGCAATCCCGTAAGGATGCGCCCCCATCCCTCCCCTCGGACTGTTGGTGCCTGCGGTGGGAATGGTTGGGGTGGCCAAAGAAACGAAACTCGGAAGCCCAGGCAGGAGCAATTCTGAGGAATGGTTTCGGGCGCCCCGAAAGGACACCGCAGGCGGCCCGAATGCCAGGACGTTGTTGGGGTACACGAATGCGAAATTGCTCCTGGCTTTGTAGCCCACGCGCGAAGCGTCGGTCCCAAAAGAATAGACCTGCTGGAATTGAGCCGCCTCAGCCCGACAAGCAGCGACGTACCGGCAGAGGTCCTGGTGCCGCTGGTACGCGCTGAGGCCCGCGAAAGGCGCCACGGTCAAAAACGGGACCTTCTGACCGTTCAAGAGAGACCCAGCCGCGTCGTCCAGGAAAGCTTCAAGCACGACCCCCGCGTGCCGCAAAATCTGCACGATGACAGACCTGGCCAAGCAGCAACTCGGAACACGGGCTAACTTTTCCAGCAAATTGATGAGAGTACCAGATCCGGTCCAATATTGTGAATTCAAAAGCGAATTCGCTCGGATGTGCTCAAGTGCCCAGGCGTGGAACTCCTCAAAATCGACTGCCCCGTCGGCCACGACGAAGCTGCGCCAATTGGCATCGTCGTCGGAGGAAACAAGGCGCCCGTGCTCGCCATATTCGCGGTCAGGCTCGGCGGACAACAGGATTTCCGAGAGCATGGGGCTGCAGAGCCGCAGCATGCCATCCAAAATGGTCTTGCAATTGGCTGCGGCGTCTCTGCTTTTGCATCCTCCTTGGAGCGGCTCGTTGAAAGCCATCCGCTGCAAGATGATCAAAAGGCTGCCCGTGCAAATGGAAGCGTGTCTCAAGACGCGCCCAGCCCTGATTTCATCATCGGTGGGGCCGTCCAGCTTGCTATCGGAAGGCCGCTGAGGCCTCGCTTTCCGCACTTGGGGCACGCCGAGTCTCCCCAACAGCGGCTGCCACGAACGCATGCGGTCGCCAAGCACTAGATGAACCTCCTTCTTTCGTTTCCCCTGTGCCTCTGGCAGCAGGGTGGCGCGCAGAATTGGCGGAAGCTTCCACCACCAATGCTGCCCGCAAGCGCCTTCGGTGAAACAGTACAAATCCACTTTCAGAGAGCCCGCCCCCCCAGGAAGGTACAGAGCTAGAGTGAATCTGCGATGCATGACAGAAAAATCAGACGCTGTCATGAAACGCTGAGCGTGGGCATCGAAGACCCGATCAGACAGGCCTTGTGAGTCTCTGTAAAAAGCATACCGGAGATAATTTTGGGCATAAGTGGATGGCGCCTCTGGATCGTCGATCACCTGAACAACTAAGCCGATGTTCTCGTCAAGTGCGAGCTCCATCGAGCATGTCTCTGCGATCTTCTTCACCTCGCCAGTCAAAGCGTGGTGAAGCCACTGCGTACCATCCAGGTCCGTTTGCAATGATATACCGCTCGTGTCCAACTGGCGGCGATCTCTGTCGCTGGCTGACATGAAGCCCCGCCTCCCCCCCGCTACGAGGGCACTGGCAGAGAAGCCGCGCGGTCCGCGCCCTCAGAAGGTTCAGGCCGACATGGCTCCATGCCCGAACACATCTGCATCGATGGCGACGTCGTGGCCGCGGGAGCGGAACGGTGATTGCAACAACAATAACAACAATTGAGAGGGTGCTCCCGGTGGCGCTGGCGCGACTCCAACGAAACGAGAGACCCCGTCGCAGCGATTGCGGCGCAGATGCGATGGACAGGGGGGCTCAACAGGTAATGCGTGTACTGGTCCTGCGGACCCCGACGGCTTAACTGATCAATGGGCTGCGGAATTCCATTGCCCATGACTTGGGCAATCCAAGCTGTTGAGTTGCTCCGCCACTTGATGTGGCATGCACCCGCGCCTGTACCACGGCATGACTGACATGCGAACTACCCCCGCCCCCCAGGTGTCAAACAGATACGATTCACTGCGCTGGCCGCCCACTCGCCCACTACTGGTCCGGAGGAAGGGCAGGGGTTGGCGACGAGAGGGAAACGAGGAAGAGGGGGAAAGTAAATGATACGCGAGCGGGGAAGCAGAGGGAAGGGAGAGAAGGGGGGAGGAGGAGGAGGAGGAGGGCGAAGAAAAAAGTAGGAAGGACTGAAGGGGCAGGGGCAGGATGAGGAGAGACAAGGGACAGCGTAGAACGGCGCGGGGAAGAGTGAGGGAGGGCGCGGAGTATCACGCTCAAGCGAAAGCTCAAACGCCAGCGGGTCGCAACTTCGACTCCGATACCGAGGGCCATTCAGCAGAGCTTACGGCCATGAAGTGGGAAATGCTAAATCCCCTGTTCCCCCCGCCCTCTCCGCTCTTCTATTTCCCCCCCCCTGCCCGAACCCGGGGCTATTGTCCGTTTTCGCCTGCAATGCCCAGTCCCCTGGTTGGGTTCTAGTTTGCCAAGGGTACCCGCGTGCTCACCCTTTACCCTGATGCCTCGCGCCACGCACGAATAACATACCCCGAGAGAGATAACACTCCACGTAGCCACGCGGGCCCGAAGGGGGAGATGGGAGCGAGCTGTCGGGAGAGCGTTGGCAGGGGGATGGGAGTTTTGAAGCTCACGTTTATGGGCCAAGGGGGTTGGTCGATTCGCGTCGGCCGCACAAGGCGGCGACCGTTTAGATTGCCACGGCACTGTCGTTTAGGAATTCCGGTGGGTATATCTGGTCGTGAGAGAGAGTGGAGTCGGGAACTCGCGTGAAGCTCGCGTGGGGCTCCCGTGGGGCTCGCGTGGGGCTCCCGTGGGGCTCGCGTGGGGCTCGCGTGGGACTCGCGCGGGGCTCCCGTGGGGGTCGCGCGAAGCTCGCGTGGGGCTCGCATCAGATTTGCACGGGGCTCTCACGGGGCTGGCGCGGGGCTCGCCGCAGAGCGTATTCGCTTTCCTCACGCTCGTCGTCGCCCCCACAACGTCCTCGTCAATGTTGTTGCACTCGCCCTCGCCGTTGATTTCTTCTTCTTCGTAGTCGTCGCCGTCGTTATCGTAATAGTCCTCAGTATCGTAGGCGATCGTCGTCCTCAAACCTGCCCTCGCGACCATCTTCATAACCGCATTATGGTTCGCCGCCGCCACCGTTCGCTAGGGGGGGAAGCGGGGAAGAACCTCTTGGGGGGAAAGGGGACACCATGCGAGAAGGGATTAACGGGGAGGGGAGGAGGGATTAACGGGAAATGTGGGCTCGCGTCGGAGAAACTCCGTCGGAAGATAAATCGCACGTCCCCTGGCTAATATTTCATGCGGAGAAGGGGTGGTGATGACTAGCAGGATGGTGATCACGATGAGGACGATCGAGTTTTTCCCTGTTTGGTCTGACGTAGCGTTCAAAAGGTCCCCTGCGATCTGAGCCCGGCCTCCCACAGGCACTAAGCCAACACGTAGTGCGTACAATTTGCATTGCGAAGCCGAACAAATGAAGGCTCTAGCATAGAGAGCCCCCACTTACCCCCGAATAGTTTGCAAGCTGACCTGCACCCGAAAAACAGCCGTTAAAGTCGGCTCGGCAACGGCACGCGCAGGCAAGCTCTCGCGCGGCCGTGCGCGCACACCGCGAAATCACGCAGAGAACGGGGCCGCAAGTTTAGCAAGCGGAACGCGCGCTTTGGCGACCGCCTTCGCCTTCGCGGCCTTGGCCGCCGATTTGGAGCTCAAGATCACTGTCTTCTTCTTCGGGGTGAGGAGTGCTGCGTTGGCAGACACCACAGTGTCCGCCAAAGTCGACAGCACCTTCTTGTCGAGATGCGCCATGAACGGGGGGTCATTGAAGAGCTCGTGAACGCAAGGTTTCCACCTGGTGGCGCCGACGAACTTAGCATTTGCATCGCTCCACGGCGAAGTGCATTTGAAACCCTTGTCGATGCGGAGGGGGAGGTTCTTCGCCTGCGCCGAGACTCGGGAACCCGCCGAACCTGTTTTGAAAAGGACGTCAGACGGCATGCAGGGGGTCGGCAAGAGGGCAAGGCATGGGGGAGGAGGACAAGCAAAACCCCAGGGGCAGATTGAACGGGGCCGGCTGGGGTTGCGAACACCCCGCGGGGAATAAGGATCTGGCGCAAAAATAACGCCAATGCAAGAGGGCGCAGGACAAGATGTGGCGCATGAGTACCCCCTCCCCCTATTCGATAATGGGGCGGCCCCCCGAGCAACGACAGAAATATTCAAAATGCGGGCAGGCAGGCTCGGCGGGATCGCGCCTCGATCGAAGTGCCCTTGTGCACGGTCCGCTCGAGCACAGGCTCCGCCTCCCCGACCGCGGCACCGAAAAAGTACTCGAAGGGGCCGTGCTTCACGAAATCCACGGAGCCATCCTGGCCGATCTTTGCCTTGAACTGCACCTGCCGGTTGCCCATTTTCTCCGCCATCGCGATGGCGAAAAGGTACAGCACCCGCTTCTGCAAGCACGGCCTCGGCCAATACTGGCCGTCGCCCAGCCCCGTGATGTACGTGAAGGTAGGTTTCACCGTGTTGGCCACGTCCATTTTGTCCAAAAGCGACTGGGGGTACCCCAACCATTCGTGCAGGAAGTCCGCACACCACCAAGCCAGCAACTGCCCGAAGTGCATGTACGAATCGGGGAAGTACGGACGATCTTTTATGTCAAGCTGCTGGTCTTCAACCTGGCAGTCGACCTGGCCAGACTCAAGGTTGGCCTTGGTCTGCAATATCTGCGCGCGGTGGGTGGCCAAGTAGTCGTTGATCCATTGCAATGCGATTTTATCTGTCTGCGAAAGAGACTTCCGAGCACGAGTGAGGGCCGCCTTGTCGACGACCTTGCCGTCCTTGGTGACCCTGGAGTCCCCCTTTTTGACGCGCATTTTCGACTGAGCGGCCATCGGTGGTTGTTTCCCTGCTGGGTGTTACTGGAGCAGTAAATCACAATGCCTGCGCACCTGCGTCTGCCAACCTGAAACAGCTATGCGAATGATAACGGCAATCGCAGTGACGATGGCAGTTAAAACATCGACGTGGCGACGACAGAGAAAGTGACGACCCCCTACTTCGCATTCACACGGGGGAAGGCGTCGCCGCTGCAACCCTCGGTCACTTCGGACCCTGGAGCAATTGGCCAGGGCGAGGGAGGGGAACGGATAATATAGAGGGATGAGGGTAAGGACAATGATAAACGAAAACAAGGAATGAGGGAGCAAGTCGGATTGACAAGAGAGGGCTGGAAATGATGATGAACCATGATGGGTCCGGATGGGATGATGCATGATATTTCTGTTTGAGCCAAACGGACACAATCATTGCACGCCTAGAACGTTGGATCACTGAGCTAATTAAAAAAACGCGCGCTGTAGCGCGGACCTTTGGTATTGAATGCACGGGCCGCGGCAACTCCCCGACGGGCTGGGTCGACCCGTCGCGGCGAAGACGCCAGCGCAAGGAAACGCCGTTGGCACCGACGCCCATTTCATCGCCAAGTGAATCGCTGGGATCTGCGAATGTCCTAAATGCCCTAAACGAGAGCGCCGCCAAACCCCGAAAAGCTTTACATCGCAGGCCCCTCGCCCCTCGGCGGCGCTCCGCGCGCGCAGGGAGGCATCGCAGATAATGCGTGCAGCATGGTCGCGCACAAGGCGCTCTCCCACACTAACCAGGTCCAATCGGAGATACAAGCTCAATGGGGGCACAGAATTTGCCAATCCACGACCAAGCCGCCAAAATGATACGACGGCAACGCCACCGGGCCGGCGTGGCCCCCGCCACGGGAAGTCTCTGCCAAACCTACCTGTATCAAACTCGTCTGCGATGTTAGGAAGGGTACCAACGGCGCCACCGTTATGGTCTGCGGCTACGCTAGACGGAAGCAATCACACAACAACGGTGAGAGCACCGCCGTCGCCATGAATTCCACGCACAGAATTTTGTTTCCAAATCTTTTTCGATGTAAGAGCGCGTACGCGGTCGATTCATAAGTGGTCAAGGTCCGCCGCCACCGCGAAGAGCAGCGGCGAGAGCGGACACCCCTGACGAATGCCGGCCGTAATGGCAAATCCGTCGTGGCGTGCCCCCGCGGCGACCACCTGGCAGCGGTTCTGAAAATAGAGTGCCCGCACAAATCCCAAAATGCAGTCAGGAAGCCCCAGATGCTCAAATAAGTCCAACATGAAGCTATGGTCCACGCTCGGGAAGGCCGCCTTGAAATCGAACATGACGGCAAAACCATCGTCCTGCTCGAGCGCGGTTCGCTGCATCTCCAGGTCGATGTCGATCACGTTTGCCAACATCGACCGCCCGCCGATGAAGCCACGCTGCTGTGGAGAAACCCATTTCGCCAATATCGGCTCGATCCGTCGGCGCACTGCGCTGGCGAGGATGCGATTGTCGAAGTTGGTGACCGTGATCGGCCGGGTGTGCTCCGGGTCGTAGAACTCCCCCCATCGATCGTCGAAGCCAGACACCTTCTTGGGGATGAAGAAAATCAACGACTCGTTGAAAGAGCCGTAGTCCCGCTCCAAGACGGTCAGGCCACCAGTCCGCGACATCTCCTGGAGTGCTCCATGCAGGACCTGCTCGGCGAGAGGACCGAGGGCCCTCCACGCAGCTGCGGGGATCCCGTCTGGGCCAGGAGTAGACGAACCTGAATGGGCAATCGCATCCCGAACGTCCCGACGCGATGGGGCCCACCTCGAGGACGATGCTGGAGGGAGCGACCTCGATCTTGCAGGCAAGTCTTCAGCAAGCCACCTCGCTCGAAGTGCAGAGTCCGTCGGGCGCGCCTCGAACACCTGGGCCCAATGCTCGCGGAGATCGGCTGCCATGGCGTCTGGAGATGTGTGAATGTCTCCCCTCAGGCTCCGAGTGGCCGTCAAGAACTTCCCTCGCCCAGGAACGAGGCGACTCAGCAGTCTGGAATTGCGAGCTCGGCGAACCGTCGCTTCCGCATCGGAGAGGTTCGGCAGATCGTCCCGGAACGCGGTGAGCTCCCGGACAGCCTGGTCCCTCGCCAGAGCGACGGCGTGCTCTCGCACAGCCGCGAGGGCGCCGCCTTCCCGAAGGGAAGTGCAATACGGGTTGGGGACGAGGTCGGCGAGGTAGGGGTACGACGATATGCACCTGCCGATCGCGGAGACGGAAGAGTTCTCCACCGCACGGATGAAACGCATGGTGCAGCCGAGCCTGTCCTCGACCGTGTGCGCGGAGACCGCGCGCCCGTCGGTGACCATCTCAAAGCTGACTTCCTGGACCGCCTGCTTCAGCAGCGGGAGGCGAGCCACTGCCGAGAGAGAAGGGGCCGTGTCGAGCAGGTCGTGGTATCGCAAACTGACTCGATGAAACCACTCAGGGCGACGGACGACGTCTGCTGAAACTGGACGCGTACCCAGCCGCGATTCTGCGGCCTGGCGGCGTTGGCAGAACATTGCACGATGGTGTGAAAGATGAGGCAACCACTCTCGGACCCCGGCCGTGATCTGCCTGTCCAGCAGTTCGCTCCCGTCCATGTTGGTGTAGATGCGGTCCAGGCGGGAGCGGGCTGAGGCCGAGTCATGGGTCATGGCCCCCTGGGACATCTCCTGAAATTTCGGGAGAAGACGCCTCCAGTGGGCCTCCTCCGCGGGATCACGAGCGCCAGCAGTATGGCCAGTGCCCTTGGAGACGCGGTCGTGGTCGTCTACTACTACTACTACTACTACTACTACTACTACTACTACTACTACTACTACTACTACTACTACTACTACTACTACTACTACTACTACTACTACTACTACTACCACGACCACGACCACTACCACTACCACTACCACTGCCACTACTACTATGATTACTACTACTACTACTACTACTACTACTACTACTACTACTACTACTACTACTACTACTACTACGACTACGACTACTACTACTATCACTACTATCACTACTATTACTACTACTACTACTACTACTACTACTACTACTACTACTACTACTACTACTACTACTACTACTACTGCAACAACTACTACTACTAATACTACTACTACTACTACTACTACTACTACTACTACTGCTACTTATACTTCTACCACTACTACTACTACTACTACGACGACGACGGCGACGACGACGACTACGACTTCTACTATTACGAATACCACTACTTCCACGACTATTTCTACCTGTATTTCTACCAATACTACTAGTAATAGTAGTAGTACTAGCAGTAGTAGTAATAGTGGTACTAGCAGTAGTAGTACCACGATTACTAATACAAATGCTACTGCTACGATCACTTCGAGTAGTAGTAGTAGTAGTTGTTGCTGTAGTAGGACTACTACTACTACTACTACCACTACGATTACTAGGATTACTACTACTACTACTACTACTACTACTACTACCACTACTACTACTACTACTACTACTACTACTACTACTACTAATACTACTACTACTACTACTACTACTACTACTACTACTACTACTACTACTACTACTACTACTACTACTACTACTACTAGTACTACTAGCAACTACTACTACTACTACTACTACTACTACTACTACTACTAGTATTACCACTACTACTGCTATCTCTACGACGACTACTACTACTACTACCACCACTACTACTACTACTACTACTACTACTACTACTACTACTACTACTACTACTACTACTACCACTACCACTACCACTAGCACTACTACTACTACTACTACTACTACTACTACTACTACTACTACTACTACTACTACTACGACAAGTACTACTGCGACTACTACTTCTACTACTACCACTACGACGACTACTATGACTACTGCCGTTACTGCGACTCCTAGTGATACGGATACTGCTAGTGTCAATGCTGCTATTCCTATTTACTACTGATACGGCTATCGGTAAAATTTGCCGGTGCCAGTGGTAGTGAAATTACCAGTGCGGCGTGACTCCTTCGCACTCTTAGTTTCGATTGCGTACATACTTTTTGATGGGCCCTCTGCCCAGAGTCACGGGCGTCGCGTTCACTGTCGTCCTGTGCGCTCTCGGGTGCGCCCCGCGTGGCTTGTCCGGAGGTCTCGGAACGGCTGTTTGGGATATGTTTTCCCAGAGTAGCACTTGATCGCCCCGCGTACTCCCAGCGCGCGTGCTGAAGTCCTATTGGGAGACACCTCGCGTCACATCCCAGGGCCCCTCACATTCCCGCGCGTGCACTGGAAAATGAATTGAAAACTCCTCAGCTGGTTTTCCATCTGGGGCCCCTCACAGGAAACCCATGGAAGCCCCGTGGGGAAAGCCGCATGCGCTTGGAAACATATGACAGATGGCCGCGTAAGTGCGCGGACAGGCTGGTGCGACGGAGCGTGAGGCTGGGTAGATAGATCTGGTATGCAAAACTAAGGGATGGAATAACAATCTGCGTCAGTGCGACGGCGACCGGGCGTGGCACACATAATTAGATCGATAGATGACCGCCGCCAACCGAGCCAAGCCGAGGGTGCGACGGCGCCCAGGGGGGCAGATAGATAGACAGAAATTGCGCAGATGCATCGGTGCGACGGCGCACGGGGGGGAATACATAGCTATATGGATACACCGCACCAACCAAGCAAAGCCGAACGGGGATCACGACAGGGGGGATCTCCTCATCTGAAGTCCCACGAATTGTGCTTTGATGCCGTTGCGGATTCTCAGACGGCTGTCTTCCAATGGAGCACTTCCCGCGGTGGAAAAAAACTCGAATGGGAAATCCGCCGATCCGGCGTGTGAGTTTCTGAAAGCGTGGATTCGAGCTCGCTCAAGCTTCCCTCTGCAGGGGAGGGGGGGGACGCAATGCCCGATGCGTTTAGTGCTCGGGGGCGGGGGGGCCCACAGGCCCCCAAGAAGCCCCCAGGAGGCTCTGAAGGGGGGGGGGGACGCCATTTCCGACGCATTTAGTGCTCGGGGGCGGGGGGGCCCACAGGTCCCCAAGAAGCCCCCAGGAGGCTCCAGAAGGCCCCCAAGAGGCCCAAAAGAGGCCCCAAAACGACCCCAAAGAGGCTTCCCCAGGTCCCTCGCTCAATCCCCTGGGCCTCAGTCCTCAAGCCCGAGGATTCGTCATGGGCTCGGACTCCATGCTCTCAAATCTCTTGAGGCTCCCCGAGCGCCCTCTGGGCACCCCAGAATGTTTCCGCATGACTTCTTCGAGCCCACGAGAGGCCCAAGACGGGCCAACAGGGCCCCAAGAGGCCCTCAAGACAGCCCAAGAAAGCCCCGAACCACCGAACGACCGGTCCAAGACACCCAAGCTGGCCCCATGGTCATTATCATGATACACATCATCATCATCATCATCATCATCATCATCATCATCATCATCATCATCATCATCATCATCATCATCATCATCATCATCATCATCACCATCACCATCACCATCACCATCACCATCACCATCACCATCACCATCACCGTCACCATCATCATAGTCATCATCATCATCATCATCATCAGCAGCATGATCATCACCAGCATCATCATCATCATCATCATCATCATCACCATCACCATCATCATATCACTATCATCATCAGCAGCATTACCACCATCATCATCATCACCATCATCATCATCATCGTCGTCATCGTCGTCGTCCTTGTCGTCATCATCATCACCATCACCACCACCACCACCACCACCACCACTATCATCATCATCAACATCAGCATCAGCATCAGCATCATCATCATCATCAACATCAGCATCATCACCATCAGCAGCATCATCATCATAATCATCATCAGCATCATCGTCGTCATCATCATCTGCATCATCACCATCATCATTATCAACATCATCATCAACAGCATCATCAACATCATCATCAGCATCAGCATCATCATCGTCATCATCATTAACATCAGCATCAACAGCATCATCATCATCATCATCATCATCATCATCATCATCATCATCATTATCCGGAGCGCCCCGGATCGGCGGCACTGGCTGGAGGCCAGACCAATAAATTCGTGTGGGAACTGATTAGGAGGGAACTTGGAAATAAGGTTTATTGCAACGTCGGTGGTGCTTCTTAGATTTACACTGGTCCTCCCCCTTCTCAAACTCCTCCTCCTCATCATCATCCGCCTCTCCCCTGGTCATCCTTCTCCATCCCCCTCACATTATTATCCCGCCTTCCGCTGTCACTCAGAAACCACTTGGAACTCCTTGAACCCTTTAATTCCTTGAAAACCTCCTTGAAGCCCCAACACTTCCTGATCTTTTTCATGATACCCTCATGCTCCTCCTTCTACTCTGCCACCACTCTCCTCCTCCTCCTCCTTCCTCCCGCCATCCCTCCTGCGTATCATCTTCCTCCTTTTGATCGTCATGGTCCCTCGCCTTAACGTCAAATGGTCGAATTGTCCTCCTCCTCCCTCCAACTCTCCAGCGCTCTACATGGACGAAGACCCCCACACCAAAGCCCAGGGCCCCTCATGAGGACGTCGCTGCGTCCTTCAACGCCAGGAAAGACTTGGAACGTGCATGGGTGAGAGTACATCCTCCCTTCTCTATCCCTCGTCGTCCCCCTCCTTCTCTTTTTCCTCCTCCTCAGGGTCCTCGACGAGGTCCCCGTCGAGCTTTACCCGGTGGCAGCTGGCGATGTGGCCCGCAGTACAGCCCAGCTCGCCCTCCGCGTCCCTGGCCATCCCGCACTCCTGCCGCGAGGAGGAGAAGCAGCGACCACGACGACGACGACGACGACGACGACGACGACGACGACGACGACGACGACGACGACGACGACGGCGGCGGCGGCGGCGGCGGCGGCGGCGGCGGCGGCGAGGGCAGTGGCGGCGGCGACTCGACGATCGAATTGCTGCGTTTGGCCGCCATCTCCGCTGGGGGCGGGGGCGGGGGGGGGGGTCGCAGGGGAACGAGCGCGCTGGACGGCCTCGCAGAGGCGTGGGGGTGGGGGCCGCGCGAGGGGGAGTCGCCGGGCTGCCCGTCGCCCAATGGCCGGGGAGAGTTGGACCGCGAGGTGGGGGTGGTGGACCCTCCACCCCCCTCCGCTCCTCCCCCTCCTGCCTCCTCTGCCTCTCTCCTCCCCTTCTCCTCCCTCCCCTCCTCCTCCCCTCTTCCTCCTCCTCCCCTTCTTTTCCCCTCCCCCCTCCCCTCCTCCCTCCCCTCCCCTCCTCCCTCCTCCTCTCATCGCGGCGCTCCAATTGGGTGTCAAGCAGGGTTTCGTAGGCCTCGACCGCCAACCTGAGCGACCAGGCTCGGCGTCGCCACGGGCGCCCGTACTGGACACGTGCTCTGGCCCGCTGCTCGGGGAGCGCGCGCGGGGGCATGGCCCGCTCTACGTGGGCACCGCTGGGTATTGCTCCAGCTCTGGCCCGCTTCTCGGGGCGCTCGAGCATGGGCCTGGCCCGCCCCTCGGGGGACCTACCGCGATGGAGGCACGCTCTGGCCCGCTTCTCGGGGAGCTACCGCGTGGACCAGGCCCGCTCCACGGGGGTTCCGCCGTGCATCGCTCGAGCTCTGGCCCGCTTCTCGAGGAGCTCGGGCATGGGCCTGGCCCGCTCATCATGAGGTCCTACGGTGCCGGATGCGTGCTCAGGCCCGCTTCTCGGGGAGCTCGCGCGGGGGCCTGCCCCGTTCTTCGAGGCCGGCTTCGGCGAGCCCGCCGAAGCCGGCCTCGAAGAACGGTTGGGGAAGCGTGCCGTCGCTGGAAGGTCGATGTGGGCGGGGCCACGGCAGGCTGGAGGGGCGGCGCGTTGGTCAGGGCGGGGTGGGGAGCAGCTCGCTGAGCACCCTATAGCCCCCGCCCCCAAGCCAGGGGCAGCCACGCGACCGCTCCACGTGGAGGAGTGGCGACCAGGTGTTGATCGGCGAGGCCGCCTCTGCGTCCAGGACGAGCTCTGGCCCGCTTCTCGGGGTGCTCGTCGACGGGGGCACGCGCAGGCGTGCCTGTGGCAAGAGGCCGCCTGCCGCGCGCGTGCTGGGCCTCGGAGTTTGTCTGCGTGCTGGGGAGCCTGCCGTGGATGCGCGAGACCTGCCTGCTGCTGGTGGCAGCTGTGGCGCGAGCCTGGCCGGGGGGGCGAAGAGCGCGGCGTAAGGGGCTTGTCGTGATGGGGGCTGCCTTCGCAACGCCCACGCTTCGGACCCGACCCGCGGGGGCCTGGGGGGAGGCGAGGCCCGCGGCGCAGTGGTTAGTCGTGCGGGGGGCTGCCATCACAGCGCCCGTGAGTTCGAGCCCGACCCTGGGCCAGGGCCAGGCCCGCTGCCCGACGACGACGCCTTCCTGCCTGGTTGCTGCCCGCGGGTCGACTTGGCGGACGTGCGCGAGGCGGCCGTCGAGGCTGCGCTCGTTGCTCTCGCCTGGCTCCAGGCTTTCGCCCAGGCGTTGGAGGACAAGGCCACGGCGGGGAGGCGGCGAGCCTTCGCGCAGTGGGCTACGGATTGCCACGACAAGAGGGTGAAGCCGCTGCTCAGCTTCACCAGGCCCCATGGGGCACCGCGCTCCCAGGTGCTGCGGCGCGGCCGCCACTCCACCCTTGCGCAGGACGCTGCTGATGATCAGATGGGCGGGTGGTCCCGCATCTGGCACGCGCAGGCCGTCTCCGACATGCCCACGGTGGAGTCTGCGGAAGGCGCCAGCGCTGGCGATGACGGGTTTGGCGTGAAGCACCTGGGCGACTTTTATTGCACCGCTTGGATCGTGGACGATATTCGTCGGCTTCCCAAGGCCGCGCTGCCCGTGCCGAAGGTGGACCAAGTCAGGGCTGCGGCCAAGACCTTCAAGTGGCACACTGGGCATGGAGCTGAACGGCTGTCTTCCCGCGCCATCAGTCTCCTAACGGACGACACCATGGCGCTCCTGGTGTACATCCTGTGGCTGGTCGAGCACTGGGAGAGGTGGCCAACGCAGATGATGGCCGTCCACATCGTGCTGCTGGCAAAGCCTATGGCGACCCATCGCGCTCCTGCAAGCCGCCCACCGTGTCTGGTCTCGGGCGCGGGCGCAGCAGTTGCGGGCGCGGCCACTGGATGTGGCAGCGCGGGCCCTCCCACGTGCAGAGGCGCCGCTCGCGTCCGACGGCGGGGTTGCCGCCGCGATCGTGGACGTCGAGAAGTGCCTCGACCGCATCTGCTGGCGCCGCCTGGTGGCCGCGGCAACCAAGCGCGGCCGCCCGAGGCAGCTGCTCGCCGCTGCCCTGGCCCTGCGCCGCTCCCCGCGCCGCCCGGCGTGGCTGCAGGCTGCGTCGTATGCGGCGGTGGTCCAGCAGGGGGTGCTCCCCGGTTGCCAGCCTGCCACGGCCTTGGCCCAGCTCCCGCTGCTGTCGGACATGGGTCAGTCCGTGCTGGGGGCCCGGCTGCTCGAGCAGCACCCCGGCGCGGGTTCTCTTTCTCGCTGGACATCTTCGCCGATGATCTGACGTTGCCAGTGATGGCCGAGAGTGAACCTCTCCCGCTGAGGGCGTGCGAGGCCATCCAGCTCATTGTGCGACGCGCTCGTCGACCTGCGGCCGCCTGCTGCCAAGGCCAAGGCCATGCTCGCGGCGTCCGACGCCAAGGTCGCCTCGGTGGTCGCCTCCAGGCTGCGGCGCGTCGGCTTCAGGCCCCTGGCCTGGCTCGAGGTCCTGGGCCTGGAGGTCGGTGCTGGGGAGAAGTCCACGGGCCTGGTCTCACGCCGTCGGGTGCGCGAGGTGGCCATGCGCTCCAGGCACTTCCAGATGCTGAGCGCGCCGGGGGGCCAAGTTCAGGAAGGTCGCGCGTGCTGCAGCGGGCCCTGCCATCACCTATGGCTTGGGCGTTGTCTGGCCCCCCCCCCCCCGCGCGTCGTCAAGCGCATGACCTCGTTGGTGAAGCAGGGGTGGCAGGCCATCCCATCTGGGAGCTCGCATTGGGTGGCCTCGCGATTGGACCCTGCGCCCGACCATCAGCCCGCCGCCATCGCCATCGTGGGCCCCATGCACAGCTGGGCGGTCATGATGCACACTGGGGACGTGGACCTTGCCATGATGCAGTTGGAGTGGAGGTCTCAGTTTCTGGCGATCGCCTCGTCGGACTCCTATGCCAGGTGGCAGCACGTTCGCAGCCCTGCTGGTGCCTTTGCTCGATCGTTGCTGGTGCTGGGCTGGAAGTGTTCGTCGGCCTTCAACGTTTGCACGCGGAACGGTGAAGCTCTGGACCTGAGGGAGGTGTCCCTGGCGCTGGTGAAGTGGATCGCTCTCAGGGACTACGAGGGGCACGGCTGGCTGCAGCGGTCGATGAGACCCGACGTCATGCCCGATATCCCTGGCCCCTCGCACAAGGACCCTGCAAGCGCCTGGCTGGCGCCGATCCATGGCTTTTGCCGGCGTAGCGCATCGCAGCGGCGTTGCGCATCGCAGCGGCGTTTGCAGCGGCAGCAGTATGCTTATGCCGAGGACGGGGATTGGAAGTACTGCCCTGGGGTGCATCACAGGTACTTGGCTCGTCCTGCATTTAATGTCGTGCGAGAGCACGCGGTGGGTGATGCCATTTTGGCAGCAGCGCGCCGCACAGCGCCGGATGATCTGCTGCACTCGAGAGGGCGGTCTCCTAACTTTGTCTTGCCAGCCCGTCCCCCTCGCAACGACAGTGGTGTTTGGTGCTGCGACCGTGGTGCCAGGGCCGAGGACTGCTTCAGCGTGACGGGCTCAGTTTTCACCGACGGCTCCTGCAAGGAGCTCCTGCGCTGGGACGTCGCCGGCCGTGCCGGCTGGGGTGCCGTGGTCGTGGGGGGGACGGCGCGTGCTCGGGCGCAGCCCTCGGGCCCCTGCCCGGGCTTCGCCCAAACCTCTGGGCGTGCTGCGCTGTGCGCGGTGGCGCAGCTCTCGACGGTGGGAGTGGCCCCGCTGCGGATCTTCACCGACCACATGCCACCACTGAAGGTCTCCAGCGTGGACGGCGATGGTGCTGCTCCCCGAGGCGCGAGAATGTGGACCTCTGGCAGCGGATCTACCACTATGTGGACGATCGTGGCGGGGAGACCCTTGGTGATGATGCGGACGTGCCTATCCGCGTGACGTGCGTCAAGGGCCACTCCAAGGATGACACCTGGGAGAGGAGGTGCCTGGCCGACGTGGCGGCCAAAAGGTGGCGCAGGATCCACACCTCTAGCCGTCGTGGAGGCGCGCGCCGACGCCGTGCAGCACGTGCGCCAGGTCGCCGCGCGGGTCGGCACGTCCTCCCGCATGGTCTTCGACGGCACCGCGCCGCCCGACCGCGACCATGTGCCCAGGCGCCGCGCTGTCCCCCTGCGCCGACGCAGTGAGCAGCTGCGGGCTGAGCTGCCGGGGGCCGCTCGAGCCTGCACCCCAGGGCCGGCGCGGCCGCCTGACCGTGAGGCCCCCACATTCCCGCACCTGGTGCGTCGCAGGGGCCAAAATCCTGTGATCGTTGCTCCGCTTTCGCGGTCTCCTCCAAAGGCGCCTCGAGACTCAAGCGGGGTGTTTGTAGGGTTGCCGAGGCGGCGGCCCTTTGGGGCCTTGAGGGCGCTTCGCTTGAGGCTTCCCGCGTGGCGACGGGCTCCGTGAGATTGGGCGCTCCGGAGCTGTCTGCGGGAGCCGAGGGCCCCTCCAAGGCCAGTGCGGCGGCCGGCCCTGATGGGGCCGCCGCCTACTGGGAGCCTCACTGGCCTTACTAACATGTTCGGGGCGATAGAAGCACTTAATCAGTAGCTTAGCGGGAT